GCTGAGAACCAAACCTGGTTCTTCTGCGAGAGCAGGCAGTGCTCTTAGCTGCTGAGCCATCTCTCCAGGCCGTGATTTGAAATATTTTGTTAAGAAAGATTTTTAAAAATTAAAAATGTATTATTGTTGTGCATATGTATAATGCATGCATGAGCCTGGAGTTTGGAGGACAGCTCTGTGGAGTCAGTTCTCTCTTTCCCCCTTTACATGAGTTCTAGGGATTGAATGCAAGTCACCAAGTTTACATGGCAAACACTTCCATCCACTGGACAATCTTGCCAGCATCAAAGAGAGAATATTTTAAAGATAATTCAGAGAGGCCAAAGTACTAGGAAAGTATAGGAAAGGGGTTAAAAAAAATCCAATTTCCTGGATCATAGCCTTGATGTAGTCTGTGAACAGATCAAAGGAACTCCATCAACTTCTTTTTTTCTGAGTTCCTTAAATGCTTCAAAAACCTAGGTCCTCCGGAATTGACCAGGGGGAAAAGTCCCCAAGCTCTTGAGAGTCTACTGGGGCTCACTCTGCCTGGGCTTCTGGGGGCTCATTCTGTCCTTACATGATACGTTGGGTCAATTGGCTACAGGGAACTGAACATAGAGCTGTTTATATCCATAGAAATTTTAATAGGATTCAAGGGTCAATGTTTTCTATGCTATTATAGTTGTACCATCTTTGCTTCTTCCTTCCCCAGAGCTGAGTTTTAAGAAGCCCTAGTACTATTGCTACTCGCAATAATAGTACTGTTAAGATTTCTTGGATTCAACACCACGTCTCCATTTTCTGTGTGATCGTCTCAGTCCCTCCTCCATGGCACTGTGAGCCTCCTCCATGGAGAACTGGGATAATTAGAACAAAGCCAATGCTTATAAAGATCCAGGGTATTCGTTCGTGCAAGGCCCCAGGAGCTGTGACATGGAAAATGCTCAGGGAATGTTGACCACCCTTCTGCTATCTGATCTCTGCTAATCTATTGCCATTTTGGATGAATGAGTTTACATTCATGCTGTTTAATGATCTCATCTTTAATTGTTGATTATTCATATAACCAGAGCCACCCATGTTATTGCTAGCTTCCTAGCAAGGAAGATGGTGTTTTTAATTATTTTTTTGATACTATTAGCTATTGTGTTTTGCATAAGTAGTTCATCAAACCACCACCATGCCCTTCACCTGTGTATGCCCTGTAATTGTATATGTTCAAATCTGATGAGAAGAAGAATTGATAGATTATAATTTCCATCAGGACAAGGACCAAACTTGCATACATGTCCACCTTGTCTCTTGTATTTTATGCAAAGACTGTCAGGAAGGTCCCATGAACACATGTTAATCATGGCAATGGGCCATGCATGTAGTACTCAATGTAGATACAATAATTGAATATAGAAATGCATAGAAGGCAAGAACTTTGTCCATGTCGTTTCCCTGTGGGTAGGGCATGGGTTTCTGTCAGGAGAATACCTCGACTCATATTGTCTATGAAAATGGGCCTGCCTCTGTCCACTATAGAAGCGTGAGGTCTGTCCCTTTGACTGCCAGCCATATTTCAGGGAGTGGAGCCCAGGTAGACAATGGGGGACACATTCTGTTTACAGAGAACACAGCCTGGGAAGTAAGAAATTGTCCCTAGTGTGGACTCTACAGGATCTGAGAGGCAAGTGAGCCAGGCAAAAGGCCAGGAAAGGGTCATTAGCTCTTTAGGGGCACAACAGAAGCTGACATTGAATAGCCAGAGGTTTTACTTGGGCAGTTGAGTGTTTTAAGCCTGTTGATGTTTTTTCCTGAGATTATTTCCTTATTACCCATCTGTAGCTTAATCCTGTCAGTGTTAAGGAGGACTAAGGAAGAGCCTTGGGGCTGACCCTTGGAGGGAGTCTGGTGGGGAGGGCCGGGGATGGAGGCCACGAGAGAGAATACTTCCGGAAGCCTCTGCGTGTTCAATCCCCTCTTCCGACCTGGAGACTCTTTCCAGAGCGAATCTCTGCCAAATCATGCTGTGTTTGAACAAAGATGTTCCCTTATGATTCTCCTGGACCAGAAAACAGCCACAGGGAGAACTTCTACTTCTGGCCATGGGAGAAGACTTACCAGAATTACCCTCCCCCTGACATAACTGGAAAATTGCAAATTGCACAACATTCTTCAAACCTATCATTTTAGACATTGAACAAGTAACCTGAAGGCTGTGAACCCTGACAAGAGGGGAGCAAGCACAGGGGCCCCGCTTTGGCCTGGACTCTTTGTCTGATTATAGCACAGGAGGGACCTTAGCTTTAAAGTTGTACAGAGGTGAGGGAGCAAAGGCTGGAGGCCAGGGAGGCAAAAGTTTGCAGAATTTCTCAGTGCATAAAAGAAGAGAGTGACATAAAGAAAGTTCCAGAAAGGTACATATGTGTTCCCTTGAGTCTCCGCCTATGCACATATGTAAAACCCATGTGGAGAAAGACCTGTGAGGAGAGTCCTTCACACTGATTCCATTGGGACATGCTCTAGATGCCTCTGCACAGAGTAGAACAGATACTGGGGAAGTTAAAAGTTCTTCTAGAAAGCTCTTTAATTTATTTTAGTTGGTGGGAAGGGGAGCTAGTGGAGAGGGATGAATCATAAGGCTCCATCAGGCAGAACCTCCCTCACCTCCACAAAGTGAGAGGTACTGGAAATTCATGGGAATCCTGAGTCAAACATGATCTATGGAAGATTGAGGTTGAGAAGCTAGTCTATGAACAGGGCATGACTGATTTACACACTGGACTTTATGGAATGTTAAGGTGACTTTTATTACTTTTGTCATCAAAGTCACTGGAGAAACTTGGGGTGGGGGCAGTGGTTGAGAAACTTCATACAGACACACACATACACACATACTTGTTCACTGGAAGTGGCTGGGTTTAGTAATGCTGCCTTTCTCTAGGGTCCTGTTTACACAGCCAGAATCACCAAGATATGCCATTCAGGCCTTTAGAAAGAGGAGAAAAAAAGAGTACTTCCTTAGTGGATTTCCAGAAAAAATCAACTTCTATCGTCTTTTAGAAAACTGTCATGGCCTAGAGCAAACTTAAGGCACAAGGTGCCACCAAGGAGCATCTGGCCAGGATTGCAGTAACTGTGGCCTTCCTCATAGACTACCGTGCCGGGAACTCCTGCCTGTCATTAAATGGTGTACCTAAGTCTGGTCTAGCTTCAAGTGAGAATTCTGGAGATGGGAAGAAAAACAGGTGTTTGCTTTATCGAGTACAAAAGTACTCACTTCCTGGCCTTTGGCAAGATCAAGCGCAGTCCAAAAACAGTTCTCTCATGAACTGGCCCTGAGTACTGCTCTGTTGCTTAAGATCTGTTTCCTTTGATTACCATCAAATTGGGGGTGAGACACCATGTCCTGCTACGGCTTGAGTTGGTCCCCCCAAAGTGCACGCGTTGGAACCTCAGTTCCTCGATGTGGCAGCTTCTGAGTTGTGTCACAGGACGGAGTCCTCATGGATGGATGAGTGTCTCTCCCAGGACTTCGTCTCACAGGACTGGCTCAGTGACTGTGGATATGGTTTGATCTAAAGCAAGTCTTCCCTTCCCTCTTGTATTTTTACACACACCCTCTTGCCCTTCTGTTTTCTGCCTTGAGCTGAGGCAGCATGAATCCCTTACCAGATGTGGTTTCCAGTCTTGGACTTCCAACATAATCCAACAAAAACATCTTTTCTTTGTAAATTTACTTCATCTTAGATATCCTGTTATAGCAACAGAAAACAGACTGAGACATGTTCCATCATGGTGTTGGTCTAGACAAGTGTGTTCAATATCTTCCGAAAATATTAAGAGCATTTCTCATGTTAACAACCCTCATGGGAAACTAATCAGACTATCTTACCAGTCCTCTCTGCACTCCCTGGGGCTGCATGAGAAATAACATCATGGACCACTTGTTAGTGACTTTTTTTCTTTATTGAAGTTCTTTCTTACAAAAGGTCTGAAGTATTTTTAGGCCAGGCCTAATTTCCATTAGTCCCTGAAATACAGGTCCATGGTCATGTCCATGTCCTCGTACGAAGGTATGTAAACTAGTCGACTTTATTCTTAAGGTTCAAATATTTTTCAACATTGCTTTTATAGACATAAAACAAGGCTTGTGTGTCTCCAATGAAAAGACCAAGTAAGAAAGTTATGTGGGTCTTCACTGTTGGGTAACTGGATTCTTCCCTGGAATTCTTTTCAAAGTGATGTTTTTCCATGGCTAGTATATTTTTCCTGCACAAACTTTCCATGTGCTGAGCTATGTAGTAAAGAATGCTATGCTTATATAGGTATACATATATTGACTCTGGAGGAAGATGCATGGGTACACGCATGTTATGTAAACATAACAATTGGTCAGAAGAAAACTCTCTGATTGTGAGAACAGTAGTGGGCAACATACATATTGCAAGCAAGTGTGACCAAGAACACATATTGCTTTAGTGGTCAGCTTGGACCTTTGGGGGACCTACCCCTGGAGGTACTTAGAGCTCCCTGTCCTCAGGCAGGATGATGTTCATCTCACAGGAGGTGTGATCGTGTGTGACTCTACCATAGCTACATGGGTCTATACTCAGTTACTTCCCTGTAGCTCCCTCGGTTCTAGGATACATATAAGATCCAGTCGATCTTCTCCTTATGTCAACAGCAGAATATGGTCACCCTGTCGCCAGGAAGGGAGAGCAGATCACATACTTGCAGAGGCCCAAGGCTCCTTATTCCCCCACTGTAAGGCTATAGCGAACCCTCACTTCTTCCATAAAGACTCGTGTTCCTCTGACCACAGGACCAAGCCAAAGAGCTGTGGAACACACAGTGTCACCAACAGCCCTAAGACATGGGTGACTTGCCTTTGACATTTATCCCCCAATGACTGATAGGCTCAGGTTAATGTGGCCAATCCCATGTCACCCTCCAAGTCAGTTCTCCCATGAGGATGTTTGACTGGAAGTCTAGCATGTCTGATATTACCCTTGCTTACTGTAGGATTCGGAGCCCAAGCTTATTGGCCAGGGTTCAGGTGGACACTAGGATTTGGGTGGGAACCTGGTCTCTGTCATTCATTCTCCAGCTTCCAACCTGGAGGCCAGATGAATGGGCCTGGTGAACGCTACCTGGAGGCAGGGTCCTGCCCTGACAGACATGCCTTGTATTAATACAGCAAAGGGGATAAATGATTTTAGCACCCAAGGTACTATGTAGCACACCATGACAGTCACTCAATAAACACCAGCTTCACTCCTCTGGTCCAGCTCCAGCTCCAGCTGGGTTTCCGTAGATGATTGGCATTTCTCCCTGGTTCCTATAGCTGGCTTCTCCTCTGTCACGTCCTCAAACTGACACAGTGTGCAGAGGCAGAGCAAAGAGGGGAGAACAGAGTCTTTCAGGATTTCTGCTTGCTGGGGAGGGGGATGTTGAATCTCTGGGACTTGGGGATTATCTGCAAAGTAAATGATCTATAATACCTCCCATTTCCACTGCTGCTCTTGACTGTGACATCATCTTGATATCCAACTGTAGCAAAGGGACCAAAAAGAGCATGGACCCCCAGGCCCTGTGGATGGTGTTCAGGTGGGTGATACACTTGCAGTCCAGTTGATCAAGGCTCCCCATGCAGGAGTCCTAGTGGAAGGGAGAGACAGACGATAGATCCCACAGAGCACTTTGGAGCAGATGTCTGGAAGAGAGTGACAACGGGCCACCATGGAGCTAGAACAGGGTGATGGGGGGGTTGGACTAAGCAGAGGCATGACCAGAGTGGCTCTAAGCAATGCCCCCCTACCCTAGAGATGCAGGAAGGTGACTTGGTGGCAGCACCCTGATCTTGAGCTGTGCCCACTTTTAGTGTGTAGTGCATGTCACCCCAGCATCTTCAGCATGTCCACAGTTTGTCACGCCCCATTTTGAGAATCTGCAGTGGAAGATGGTGTCCTCTGTGCCCTTGCAGGAGACGTCATCCATCCAAATCCTCCCTGTGCCTGTGAAGAGAGGTGAACACAGCTTCTTAGCAGAGACCCAGGAAGAAGCAGGAAGGGGAAGAAAAGGAACATGTCTGTGAATAACCTTGACAGCACGTTCAGTGCTTCTGGAGTCTGGGGGCTTTCGTCTCCCCTCTCTGCCCTAACAAGAACTCATACTTCTAGGCTCAGTGTCCAATAGGTAGAGTGACAATAGTTGATGGTGGTGGTATTTGTGAGTCCCTCCTATATGTCAATCTCTGACACATACAAGTCTCTTCAGTCCTCACCATATGCTTTGTGGTAGGTAGTAAGAGACTCTTCTTATAGGTGAAGAAATGTAAGACTCAGAGAACAAATCATGCCAGATCACATAGCTCATAACCAGGAGAATCTGACTTCAAACTTGAGTCTCACTACCTGCCCACCCTCGGGCTCACACTTTATAACAGACTCTAGTAAGATATGGTATTAAGATCCTGAGGTCTTTGTTAATGAACAGTTCAGTAAGGCCTAAACAGAGGGACAATGTCAGACAGATACCGTACTATTCCAGTGGCTCAGAACCAAGTTTATTAATACCAACATCATGTCCAATCTTGTGAACTTTAAAGCACATGCTCCCAGATCCCATTATGTGAGCCCAAGATAGTGGTCTGGAATGACAAAGGATCCCAAAGTTTAGCATTGTAACCAGGCATCTTCAAACTCTAAGTCATTGGGCTAAAACCCAGAGGGACTAAGCCTTGTTCACCCAGCTCTTACTGGGTCCAAACTGCTCGTCTAAAGATGCCCAAACATGGAGGGCTTGGTGCTGTCCAGCCCTGCTGGACACAGAATCTGCATTTTCACACAGAGGCCGAGCTGTGGAGTTTGATAAGCATTAGTAACAGTAGCAGAATCAAAGCTATATACTATGGGGCACATCTCTGTGCTCTGAACAGTACAAACTTGGCACTGAGATCCTTCTGTGGACATCAGGGGCTAGGGCAGCTGGGTAAACCCGCTAAGGTGAATGAAGGATCAGTGGGGGATGGAGGAGAAAGGGGCAGGCTGTGCGTAAGTCACCGCACACTCCTGCTGATGAAGTGGTGGGAACTGGTGGGCTATACCTGGCTCCAGATGGTTCTGGAAGCCCATTTGGGAACCTTCTGGAAGGAGGACTGAACTTCAGCAGTAAGCTTCAGCTTTTGCTGCCCAAAGTGAGGTCCTGGACTGTCAGGGTTTGCATCACTAGAGCTTGTTAAAAAAAACACACACACACACAAAGCCTTGGGTCCTGTCCAGCCCTGCTGACACAGAATCTGCATTTTCACACAGAGGCCGAGCTGTGGAGTTTGATAAGCATTAGTAACAGTAGCAGAATCAAAGCTATATACTATGGGGCACATCTCAACCCAAGACTCAATATCACCCAAGGGACAACATTTTAGTTTTCAAACTGGGAGTGGTGTCTCAGGGTATGAGATGTTTGATGTGAAACTTGGTAAGTTCTGGGCAAACCTGGGCAGTTAGTTATCCTAGCATCCTTACTTGGTAGGTCTATGGACTGTGTTACATTTTGAATCTGAAATACAACACACACACACACACCCCACACACAGGGTCATGTTTTGAACATTTGTTTCTCTCTGGTGGTACCAGTTTTGGAGGCTGTACAACCTTTAAGAGGTGGGGCCTACTTGGCAGAAGTAAGTAGGTCACTAGAGGCTAGGCTTTGACAGTTATACCTACCCCTGGTTCCAACCTGTTTCCTTTGCTTCCTGGTCTACCATGACGGAAGAGGGACTACCTCCCATTTGCACCATCAGCTTCTCCTGCCGTCACACCTTCCCCACCGGGATGGGCTGCAACTCTCTTAAACCTCCAAACAAGTCTTTCCTTCCTTGAGTTGTTTATGTCCGGTATTCTGATTACAGTAACATGAGAAAGAATTTCTACAACCTGGGATAAGGCTGAGGGTCAATAGCCAAGGTTACTGGCTGCATCACTCACGGTGGCTAACAACCTCTCTCCTTTTTAGTGGAATTGTCAGGACTATTAAAACCTTCAACTCTGGGGGTTGGAGAGATGGCTCAGCGGATAAGAACACTGACTGCTCTTGCAGAAGACCCCAGTTCAAATCCCAGCACCCACATGGCAGCTAATAACTGTCCTAACTCCAGTTCCAGGGGATCCAACAGCCTCTTCTGTCCTACACGGGCATTGCATGACACGGTGCACTTACCTACATGCAGGCAATATATGCATACACATAAAATAAAAATAATAAACTATTTAAAAAAAAAAAAAAACCCTTCAACTCTGTAACCAGAGCAGCCCTGTAAAATCCCTTTACAAAGAGGGCCAGGGAACTTCTAAGCCATGTTGCTATTGACTAAATTAGCTGCCTGAATTAAGTCGTTTAGATATGTTCTGTGGAGATTTGCAGAGACCACTGCCCCGGAATCCGGGACAGAACAGGGAGGAGAGGCCTCCCTCTGCCGTCTGCTTGGACCCTGTCTTCACCAGAACCTCTTCCCAGCTCTTACACAATAAGCCCTTTGAGGCACAGCAGTAACTCCCGGATTAAACGTCTCCTGGAAAACATATCAGTTCACAAATAACCCAGGAAAAGGCCGCAGGCCCAAGAGCTCTTTGGGATTAGTCACACCCAAAGCAGATAAAGATGTGAATAAAGGGGACTTACAAATAAGAACAGGCTGAGGTTGCCCAGGCCAAATGCGCATATATGACGAGGAGACTAAAAGCTTGGCTGGTGCAAGGCCAGGAGTTCTGGCTAGTGTCCAGCCACGGGAGGCCAATAAACTAGGAACCGGGTCATCACATGAGCAGCCCCAGGAAACTACAGCTCGGTCAAGTATGTGGGCAACCACTAAGGACACCACAAACATCTATGCCCCCGGCTCCATGCCATAGAAGCCAGCGATCTGGAGCTCCCAGGTGTCCGTCAGCACCTTGGCAATGAGAACTGTCCTATCGCTGCTCAAGGTGTGGTCCCAGGACCAGCCTTGAGCTTGTCAGGACTTTGTCCTGCCTGGAATGATTCAGGGATGTATTCAAGTCTGAGAAGCCCTGCTCAGGCTAGGTCAGCACCTCAGGCTTGTTATCTCTTGGGCTGTACAGTAAAGTCCCCTTGGATAAGTAGGCTCAGCACGACACCTCCTGGTGTGTACACATGAGAAATCAAAGCAACAGGAACCTTTACCATGAGGGGAGAGTGGGACTCTGGTCCAGGCTGTCACTGATACAGTACCAAGTTTGAAGGTGCTCAGACATTCGTTTGATGAGTATCTGTGGCTCTGCTGTGCACTCAGCATTGTTTGGGTATTTAGAACACACACACCAGTGACAGAGATAGCATGGAGCATTTTCAGTGAGCTGAGGTATTGAAGAGTGCGAAAAGCTCCCCTCAGGAGAGGAAACTGAGCTGACCTTAAAGAGCCGAATTCCCTGGCTGACAGAGGGTCAAGTCTTCAGATGGGGGAAACAGCACATGTTGAAACATGGCAATCAGGTATGCTCTAGGAAACATGGCACACACCTGGGCAAGAAGGTGGGCGGTGAGCCTGGGGCACACTAAGAAGGGCTTTGGGCCTTGGTGGTGGTCCGTACCTGAAATCCCTGCACTTGGGAGGCTGAGGCAGGAGGACTAGTTGGAGCGCAGCCTGAACTACATAGTGAGACTCTATCTCAAAAACTGATTGGGGAAAAAAGGACTTAAGTGCTAAGCTTTGGAAACCAAATTGATCCCCAAAGCAATAGAGACCCACTGATGACTCAGGAAGGGATCAACACAAGCAGCTGTTCATTGTAGGGAGCCACTTCGCAGATTACAGTGAGGGCACCATAGAGACAGCGACTCACGGAGGATTAAAAGCACTCCCAAGCCCCTTGGACTGACAGCTCCCTCTACTCGACACACAGACATGTGCACCATACTAACTGTTTGACGCATGGCCTCATCCAACACTGGTAACTAATCTTTAAAAAAAGGAACCTGAATCTCAGAGAGGCTAAGAAATCTGTTCAAGGTCACCGCCGAGAAGGTGGCAGTCACAGTATCCTAGTGCAGAAGCTTGATCCCAGAACCTGAGGCTATAATTAATATGTGGATGAATATTTTGCTAAGGTGAGGGCTGTGAGGGGAAAGGGAGGAGACAGACTCAAGAGACTCTGTAAGGGTGGAAATTGGTAGAAGCTGTCAGACTTGGGAACAGAACAGACGGAGTGAGGCTAGCTTGGATGGGTCTGCCTGAGACAGTGATGTACCATGAGAGAGGTACAGAATGTGGTGGGAAGAAAGTGTATATCATTTTGAAATGTGTGGCGTGTCTAAGTGGAGCTGTCTGGGAGGTAACTAGACACTGTGTGTCTGAGGCTCAAAGCAGAGAGAAAAGCCTGGGTCGTGGCTGAGGCACCAGCAGTGGAGGTGGGCTCCAGAGACAGCCTGTAGAGTTCAAGGAATCTGAACAGGAGGAGGAACAGGAGGTGGAGGGGGAGGAGCAGGACGAGGAAGAGGAGGAAGAGGAGGAGGAGGGGGAGGAGGAGGAGAAAGAGGAGGAGGGGAGAGGGGGGAGGGGGAGGAGGAAGGGGAGGAGGAGGGAGGGAGGGGGAGAAGTAGAAGCAGGAGGAGAGGCAGGAGAGTAGGAAGGAGGATGGGGGAAGAAACAAAAAGAGGGGGAGGAGGAAGAGGAGGAGGAGAAAGGCCGGGATTGAGGGAGGAGGGACTAGGGAGGAGGAAGAGGAACAGGAGGAGGCAGAGGAGGATGGGGGAGGGGAAGGGACAGGAAGAGTAGGAGGAAAGGTGAAGAATCTGAAGATTCTGAAGCGCTGAAAAATCAAGAACCTTTCAAAATGAAGGCGTGTGTAAAGAGGGTGTGGATTGGCATAAGAGGGTCCCGGCAAAGCTGGAAGGAAGGCTGGACCTGTGTCCTGGTCGGCAGGGGAGGACAAACTCCCAGGAGAGAGAGACACTCCGATAGAGCCTCCGGGAGGCTGAAGAGCAGGAGAATCTGGAGTGACAGACAGGACCCTGGTGGGTGGGTGGCAGGGTAGGGGACTTTGTCATGATTCCACTCATTGCCAAAAGAGGTGGGCATCCCCTCCCTGCTGCCGAGAGCTCCTTTCCTGGAGCATCAGCATCCCCACCATGCTGCTCAGAATCCTGTCAACTGAGCATGTGTGGTTAGGACTGGGCTGCTTTGCCGCAGTGCCCTGGACCATGTGCCTAACATGTGACCCACAGGTGCCCTCACGTTGCTTGTGGGAAGACAGAAGAAACTTGGGGAGTACAGCCTCGACTGGAGGACAAGGCCTCAGACAAACCTCAGCTGTGTCAAGCCTCTCCTTTACCCAGGCCTCTGTTTCCCACTGTGTACCCTGACATTGGGCCTGCTTACCTGTCCAAGTCTTCACTAACATGTTAGATGCTCAGTGGACTCTGACAGAAAGTAGTGGCACACATGTGATACATGCATGAAGTCCATTAACGGGCTAACACAATCAGTGACAAGTGCAGAGTGTCCCCATACAGGTCACATAATACAAAAGTCAGGGGGAACGAGAGGCTGAAAATCCACGGGATGGCTGACCCAGCCCCAGGAGCACGTGGTTTAGGCTGGGCTACCTCTACAACAACCTGGGGTTTTAGTCTAAGACTACCAAACCCTTCAAAGTACTTAGGTTTCTTGAAAGAGTTTCTGATTTTCTTTTCCATGAAGATTTTGCTCTCAGGGCTGGAGAGATGGCTCAGTGGTTAAGAGCGCTGGCTGCTCTTGTAGAGGACACAGGTTCAGTTCCCAGCACCCACACAGCAGCTAATAACTGTCCATAACCCCAGTCCCAGGGGATACAGCGCCCTCTTCTGGCCTCCATGGTGTTGTACAACATAGGTGCGCTTATATACATGCAGGTAAAACATTCATACACATAAAAAAAGATGAATAATTTTCTTTGGTTTATTATCCTTTGCACATTTATTTAGCATTGACATGAGATCCAATATTTCAACCCCGGTCATACAAACCAGTAGCCCTGTTACACATCACATACTTTGAATAAGTCATTCACTAAGGTCTCAGTTTTCTGATGAATAAGATATATTGATATAATTAAATATAATTATCTAAAATTTAGTTTCCTAAAACATCTGGTAGCTTTTAGCATTTTTGTCCAGGTCACTTAGGCTGCTAAAACTTGAAATAGTTCAACAGGAGGAGAAACTAATTTTGTTATACAATCAACCACTTTCTACTGTTCAAGAGCTCAAAGTACAGTTTTACAGCAGTATTTTTGAACTTATAATGAAAATCTCTCTCCTAGAATATATAGCATAGAGGGATGGATCTCACCATCCTCAGATATCAACTGTTATAGCCTTAGAATCAGTTTATTTTTTCTTGGTATCTCCCTCTGTGAGCACATATTTTTATGATTCTGTTTCTTGAATTTTCTTCAATTCTAAACCTTGTTGAAGTCTCTCACGCAGAGCCCTTTCTTCCTCCATTCTTTTGCTTCTTGTAGATATATGGGGTTTTTTTTTATTCCTTTGCTATAACTTGAAAGATACGTTTGAAAAGGAAATCATAAATGTATTCTCCTATTGTGTTTCATTTTTTAATTCAACAGCCTTGCTGGACACTTACTGAAGCCGATACTCTTCTTAGGAGCACTTTGATAGTATATAATAAATAGTTTTAAAAAGATTCTGCTCTCATTTGTTAGAAAGGACTCCTCCTTGGAGTCCCAAATGGAAAAGTGATGATGGGCCTTCATCTTCCTCAGGGAAGCAGTATGGCATCCTTCCTTGGAGAAACGTGCTGGAATTCAGCTCAGAACTTCAGCAGGCATCTCTCCTGCTGAGTCATCTCTGTGGTTCAGGATCCCTTGGCATTTCTTTCTGCTCTGGCTCTTTTTAAAATATATATTTTATTTATTATTTTTATTTATGTGTATGAGTGTTACGCCTGAGTGTATGTAAGGACACCCATGTCGTGCAATGCCCATGGAGGTCAGAAGAGTGTGTCGGATCCCCTGGAACTGGAGTTATGCACGGTTGTTAGCCACCAAGTGTGTGCTGGAAATCGAACTGCTGAGTCGTCTCTCCATACCTGACAGCTGAGTGTCAGATGGTGAATCCCAATCCCACCCCTCACCCATGAGAACACAGGTGCTCGCAGGAGAGTTTCACCATCTTAGATCCCAGGGGCCTAGGCTGGAAGGTACAGGCCAGAGCCTGCAAACCCTTTTATCAATCATATGGCCAAGGAAAGCAGAGTTAAAGGTGAGGGAACTCTATGCACTGGGGACCATTGCTTTGGACTTGAGTCCACCCAAGCTTCTCCATGTTCAAGGTCTGCAGAGAAGAAAGCATTCGTGAGTGTGAGGAGTGTATCTGAGGAGTGGGAGGTGAGTGCTGTGGGGCACACTTGGCTGAGTTTGGGGAAGAGACCAGGCTTGGAACCCAAGGTCCTTCCCCATGCTGCCCGCTCTGTAAGCCTTACCTTGCCCGAAGCGAGCTGTCCGGTATACCTCCTCAGCACTGTGGAAGCCCAGCATGCGGCACACCACGTCCCCGTCCTTCTTGTCCCAGCCGTCATCACACACTGTGCCCCAGCGACGTTCGTGGTACACCTCCACACGACCCTCGTGTGGGCCAGAGCCATTCACCAGGCGAATCATGGCGACATTCACATCACCTGCCAGGAGAGTCGCTGTCACTACACGCCCAGACCCCATCTCTGAACCTCCTCCCATGCAGGGAAGATAGGACTGGGAGTAAAACCATGAGGTCAGAGTATAAAATTCCTGCCCTTTTTGTTTTGAGACAGTCTCATGTAGCCCAGGCTGGCCGGTGGACAGTGGGATTTATAAACCATACACGTGTGTCACATGAAAGGACTCAGAATCAACCAAGTGTCTGTTATCTGCTGCCTGGTCTAGAGACACCCAGAATATTCTGTACAGGGAAATCAAGGAAGCCACCAGGAAAGCAAAACCTCCTCACCACGCTGGAAGTTTCCAGCACAATCAAAGGCTCTTCTTACTACCTGATGAGTTCCATCCCTGACCAGGCTACCAGCCATCCCCAGCAATTACTGAAAACCCAGCTCCTGCATATGCTCAAGAAAGCCTGAGGAGCTGTGCAAAAACACGGGAACTCTAAAGAGGAAACTGGAGGAAAGCTAGGATCCAGAAGCCACATCTGACCAGGGAGACTCCTGAGGGATGGGGGCAGTAAAGAGGATCTAGCAACACCAAAGGAGGTCAGGCCCCTGCCAGAGGCTTGGCTCCAGGTTGGCCCTGGCTTCCCAAAGACCTGCCTTGCCTCTGTCAACACCATGCCACGTGGTAGTGTGTGCCGTGCTGTGTGGAGAGGCTGAGAATAAAAGCCTCAGTGTGGGATCAGGAGGCAGGAGGATGCTGTGGATCCCAGGACAGGCCCAGCAGTACTGAGGGTATCAGGAAGAGATGGAATGTGGCAAAGATGCCCGGGACTGGTATTCAGAGAGTCCCTGACTTAGCTTCTGTGCTCTGCCCAGCTAGCGTGACCTCACTGTTTCGGAAACGTAAACAAGAAAAGGTGCTCAGGGGGAAGGGAGGGAGGCATCATCTTGGAAGCTAGACAAGGACTGGAGTGAAGAGTAGAAGGAGGGGCCATATTGATATCGAAGGTTGGAACGCAGTTGAGAGTTGGGTGAGGTGCCATCTTGGAAGTGTAGAAAAGTAGGGTGTGAAGAGTTAAGGGAGGCACCACACTCATGCTGGAACTAGACAAAGGAGCATGTAGAGACAGGCAGGGGGGCGGGAATGGAAACACAACTTCCTTTTTTATGTGCAGGCCTAAACTTTTCTTCCTTAGGTCTCGGCTTAGATGTCTCCTTCTTTCAGAAAGATGTCCCTAGTCCCCGCGTCTGGCCGTCTCTGGTCATTTATTCCTTGGAATTGTGATTGCCTTACTTTCTCAGGACACTGAGAGATCCTGTCATATGGTACAGTGTGAGGGCCACTGAAGTGCCCGCTTTGTGTACAATGAAGGCAGAAATGGATGAACTCCCCTGTTATCACAGAACCTGGTGGACACACTATCCAGAGTCCACCATCGGGACATCCCGTGTTGCCAACATCCTCATGACATCAGTCCCCCATGACTTTCTATGAGATGGTTCTGGGTTCTAGACCCAAAGCTCAGACTGTAGTACTCAATGAGTCAACTTTCCACTTGAGGAAACAGAGTTGTGCCCTGCCATACGATTTTGGTGGGTGCTGGAGAAAATTTGGAAAATGTCGTTTGGATGATGGCATACTGGAATCCCCAGGAGGTTTCAGTGTGTATGGAAGCCAGAGAAGAATATTTGGAAGCAGGACAGTTTTACGAAATTGGAAACACATGGCAACCATAATTGTGGGATTTACAGCATCACTTTCAAAGATGTCACTGGCCCATGGGCTGTGCCCCTCCTGTACCAGGCAGTCACGGGCCATTGTGGGATACCCCTCCCAACTAGCACCACATTGACTTCAGGGGCTGAAAGGAGGAACAGTGCCCTGCGGGGGAGAAGGGGGTTAAACTGGAAACCACCTAGATAGAGCCGAGCCTGGTCCTGTCTTGTGCCAAGTCTCAGTCTCAGGACTGTTTGCCAAGATGAAGTACCACCTGCCCATGGGGTAAACAGATGCAGTATATCCCTAAAGGGCCAAAGTGATTCTGAAAGCCGTCACCTCCCCTGGACTCATCCGGACAGATGGCCCATCTCATTCTCGTCCTGTCTTACAGAATATGGTATAAGCTGTGTTTTTTTCACATGTCCTCTCCCCAACAAAAATCTCAATTCTGCTCTTGCTTCTCAGGTAAAATATAGACTGAGATTTGCCTGTTTATAGTACAGACTGCCCCAGTTCAGGGACTCGTTTAAGAGGCTGTTCCCTGAACAATTTCTTTAGCCTCCTTAGCCCTGCAGAGGAACAGAGAGGCTAGCATACAGGTAACAGCACCTTTCTTCAGCCTGAGGGGTGATGCCACGTCCAGGAGCCCACCTGGGGAGTCACCAAACACCCTCCACTCTGGACCCTCCTTTAGCCCAAGTAGGACATCCTGGCTTTCTTAGAGGTTTAAGTTTCTATGAAGGTTTCAACTGGGCTTCTTACCAACAGTTTCTGCTCCAGGGCAAAGTTTCCCTATTAAACAATTACCCACCACCCAGAAACACTCGCAGCACAGACTGAATGCGTCATCCCTCACTTAGTCTGAGAGGTAGCCTCTGCCTCTGCTGTAGTTTGATGTGAAATGCTCCCCACCTACTCCTGTGTTTGAGCACTTGGTCCCCAGCTGCTAGTGCTGTTTTGAAAAGTTGTGAACTCGTGTCTGGAGAGATGGCTCAGTGATTAAGAGCACTGGCTGCTCTTGCAGAGGACCTGGATTAGAATCCCAGCACCCACATGGTGGCTAACAACCAGTAACTCCAGTTCCAGGGGAACCGATGCCGTCTTCTGTCCTCCTCGGGCACTGCATGACACCAGGTACACTTACATACATGCAGGCATAACACTCATACACATAATATAAATAAATAAATAAATAAATGAAAAACTGTGAACTTCTGGAGGCAGAGTCTAACTGGGAAACAGGAAACAATCAAGACTCTTGAAGTTTGATAGCCTGGCCCCATTTCCTGTCTGCTGTGTTCTGGGCTGCAGAGGCAATGTGACCAGCCGCCTCATTAACCCGGTCACCATGCCTGCCCTGCCAGGCCTTCCCTACCTTGCCTTTCTAAGGCTGGAAAACTCAATCTGCTTAGGCAGTTGTATCTCATCTGGAACACGGAGGACAGATGAAGGTTGCTCTAACTTGACAGCTTTTGTCCCCAGTCTCCAGCTCACCAGCCTTGGGTAGAGCTTTCCCTTACAAACTCCACTTCCCCTGCCCACAAGCTTAGCAGAGATACTGAGATATCCACAGGGCTGGGTCAATTCCTCTTTTTCCCCTCTGGGTTGGGGATTCTGGATCTCAGAAAGCTTTGGGGTGGAGGCTGTCCCCTTTTCTACTGATATGAGTGTTGTCACCCTGGGAGATACCCAGAAGCATCACTGTTTGGAGGAAATCAATAAGGAGTCCAGGGCAGAGAACTGGCCCCTTCCATCCACATGGGCTCTTACTCTTGCAGTTCAAAGGGCTTTGTTTCACCCATGGGTTTTCTGGAGTGTCGGTGGTTGTAATCTTGGCTTGCAGCTTTCTGCCTCACCACAGCCAAGCCCATGGACCCCACCTCCTGATCCCTGGCCTGCTGAATGGATCTTGCCTATGACCTAGGATGCTCCTGATGCCAGCAATACATATGGTCCTTACACATCTTCCTGCAGCAAGCCCCCGGGCTCCCTCTCCCTGCCTTGCTTCCCCAGTAAAGAAGCAGAGACCGAGACACAGGGGTCAGGCCATGGAGATGCATGTGGCTCTGGACTAGGAAGCTCTGCATTTCCTGAGGCTGTGCTGGCAGCAACTTGCATCAGCTTAGCCGAAGGCTTCAGATGTCCATCCCATCATGTAGCACATGGAGCTATTTTAGTTTGTGGTGACACAACCTTCAAGCTTTTCCAATCTTCACAAATGACAGAGAAGCATAGAATTTGGCAGCTGGTGGAGACTTGAAGATGACATAAAGTCTTCATGTCACACACAAGGGCTTGGAGTCGAGAGAGAGTGAGAGCAAATGAGAGAGAGAGAGGGAGAGAGAGAGGGAGAGAGAAATCTCATTGAGCCATGTAACCAGGGCATATAACCCTAATCCCTTAAGCCCTTAAGACCTCCTACTTTGCCCTCCATTCAAGATTGTGTGTGTGTGTGTGAGAGAGAGAGAGAGAGAGAGAGAGAGAGAGAGAGAGAGAGAGAGGATGTAATTTATCCAAGCCATCCCAGCAAATACAAAGCTGGGGCCCAAACTGGACACTTAGTCCTTGGGCCAATATTATGCTCTCTTTTCTCTCCCAGAGTCCTTCATTCTTCCTGAGCTCTAGGTAGGGTCTGCTAAATCTGCTGTAAACTCTGAGAGTAATTGCACAGAAAACAGTTACTTTAACCCTGAGATTATAACAAACAAAAGCACACGCATTTCCCCTGAGTCTTATGGGAGAACCTTGGCTGAATCTATGTTGGAAATGAACACGTTGCTATTCCAGGCAGGGACAGGCCAGCCCCAGCACTGCAGAAAAGCCCAGCAAGCCTACCTTCTATGCTTCATCTCTTCATTTCTTATAATATGTTGATGTTTGCTTTTGTATTTTCCAATTGCTCACTTAGTTGTCCATCCAGATGGGCCTATGGGACCCTCACACATTCCAGGGTTACACTGGATACCAAAGGTGAAGTGGAAACACAAGAATTGTCTTTGACCTTGACTCACTCAAATGAACCAACAGCCCGAAAGGAGAAGACCACCACAGATGCCAGAGCTGGCAGGCAACTCAGGGACTCCCAGGTCAAACCCCTCATTCAGAGGTGAAGAGACTGAGTTGAAACAGCTGTTCCTGGGAGGCCGGGTCCCCCTCGTTCCAGAGCACTGCTCCTTCCTTCCCTCTCAGCACCAGACCAAGGGGAGATGTGCGAGGTTAACTCAGGAGGCCACGGCTGTGTGGGCAGGAGCAGAGGCATGGGCTGATGCTCCTCAGGCTGGAGGGCTCCACGTGAGATTGTTCCAGGAAGTTC